CCCCCCCCCCCCCACCCCCTCACTCCACTGTTGTTTGTGTGTATAATTCTTGTGTTTGTCCGGGTTGACAGAGTAAAATATATATTTCTTATTCGTCTCAAAAGGTTTTGTGCCAGGTTATTAAATAGTATTTGCGAAGTTAAGAATTCTTGTTTCGTTACTATTCTTATATCTTCGCCCTTCTCATAAACAAGGCTTTTCTTTAATTCTGCCTTCTTTGCTATATAACAAAAGACTTCACGGGAAGCAGTTCCGTTTACCCTCGAGTAGTCAAGACCGTTGGAAACACAAACATCATTTCAGTCTCTGGATCAGACATTAAATGTCTGTTGGTCTCTGCAAATTTTAGCGGCATTGTATCAAAACCATTTATTTCTTTCAGAAATATAAATTTCCTTTAAGGACCCGTTATCTAAACGTACCTGCTAAGCGTTGGGCGAGACAATGACGAAGCAAAAAAGACAAAAAGAACAAAAAGGAACGTCGGAATTGAGGTGTTTATCTCTAAAAAGTGACAAAAATAATAAAAAAATGCATTAAAGAAAAATTAGCTAGTAAAACATAATGTTGGCACAAGGTGTTACATGAGCTAAATTACAACCGTGCGTCCACTTTGGTCTTACTTGTTGAAAAATCGCAATCAGGGTTGCTCAGTTTTTTAAAACCTCTATGAGTCTGGATGACTTGGCGACCTTTTTCCTACAAAATAATAATAAAAAAAAAGTTAGCCGTCATTTTTAAAAGTGTTGTCTACCCAAAGAAGAAGAAGAAGAAGAAGAAAAAAACAGGCTGAAAGTCATCTCTAGTGCGAATTTGTCAAGGGGTGTACTGCACTCATTTTCTTGTCAAATTTCTACTTCTAATTCAATCCAATTAATCAACAGAGTCCGCCTTGTGCAATTTATAACATAAAATTTACCCTTTCAAAATACCCCACAATTTCTGCGCGGGCGACGTCTCCTTCGTGGGAAGCCTTTATTCTGCAGAAAAATGATTGTTTTGTTCTGTCCACGTGTCTTATTTCAAAATAGCAGCGTGGAAAATCAACTGAGTTTTCTGGTGAATTCCAAGCATCTCTTGATTTGATAGTCTGAAAATACATCATACATGATGGATAAGTTATCAGCGGTAATTTCTAAAGTCTTGACTGTTTCTGTTGTAAATGGTTTCCATTTTTATGGCAGCATAGATACAGTTAATCAGTCAATCCACTCGAGGTCGAGCTTTTTGGGTGGTAAATGCGACTCACATAGAGATTGTCTTTTGGCACATCCGTAAGGAGAATAGTCTGCTACACAGCCGTTTTTGGTGTCGTCACGAAACGCTGGAGGAGCGTTCCGTGACTACCTTACAAACGGCTGTGTAGCAGATTATAAGAAGAAGCGTGGATTTGAAGAAGGGGTGTTGAGTGACTGATGGATCGAAGATATGAGGGAAACCTAATAAACGCCTCAGAAAATAAAAAAAAAGGGTAAGGATTATTGCAGTTGCAAAACGTGCAGCACCAATTATTATTTTTTTCTGTCGAAGGGTGATACTGCTGCAAAATTATGTATTAAATCTCTCCAGAAACCCCATAAGGTGTTGAAGCGTGAAACTCTCATATGTTTGCTTTTGCCGATGCATCTTATTATACCCCAATGTGACCTCATAGTTCTCCTTTCGTACCTTTATACTGCTTCCTTTGATTTTCCATCCAGGCTCGAGTGCACTGAGCTCGATTGTGATGTCTTCTTTGCTGTTCGACACGAACATCCCAGAACATGGTGAAAGAAGCCTGTTTCCTTTTTTGTCTTCTTCTTGGCAAATACTCTGTTTATTGAAAAATACATTCGGCGCGATTCAAAAACCTCTCCGAATGACCAGCAAAATCTAAATAGCTATTTAACTAACTAATATATGCCTGCACACTTCTGAGACAGAATGGCCCAAGACTGAACCTTATGGCGGAACCCCATACGTTAAGAAAATTTGGTAACCCATCCATCCGAGAAATTTTGGTAATCACGTGACCGTACGTCCGACCATCCGACTGTCCGCACAACATGCATACCAATGTAAAATAACTCAGTTAACAGGTATGACACTAAAGGCAACTGGAGGTGTTTTTGGCGGGAAATCTCAGGGCAACCCGGACTTTTAGAGAGAAAAAACAACAACAAAGTCGAGTCTCCCTCGACGTGAAAGTCTACTCTCATTAGATAACTAGATCTTTTGAATGTGTTACCGTTCTCATTGCCGTCGCCGTTAAGCATTACACGACTTTATTTTTTTTAAAGAAGAGTGCAGGTTAACTTTCCCACGTCTCTTTTAAGTAAAAAATAACCTGTTTAGAGAAATAGAGTATCACTTGATACCTTGCAAGCAGGATTTGTATCATCTACGAGATAAACCCAAATCTTCCAGTCTCGTCCTTGGGTTGGACGACTGGCAAAGATCGCCATTTGCATTCTTTTCCGGTCATCCTTTCCAGGCCTTCCAAACGCTGCTATTTCCACGTCTTCCCGAAGAGGTGGCAAAATAACTTCAGTATCGTTGTGTTTTTGTTTCACAATAGCGTTGGGGTAAACCTCCATCAGGCTTCTCCAGTTCCTTTTTTGTTGGGAACCTTCTCGTATGTCGTGCTGTACGGGGCGACATTTTACCTCGATGACCCATTCATTGCCTCGAGTCATCAAACAGCAGTGCTCAATCAGAGTCGACGGAGGTGTAGATAGACTACCACCATGGATCGTATAACAACTGCTGATTTGGACTTCTGACTCGCGGTCCGCGTCATCGCTCTCTAGATCTAACACAGCACTGCTGTGTACCAGATTTTCTGCAAAAGTAGAATGTCCAGCCTGTTAAGTGCCATGGTGGAGTCAAGTTAGGGAGTTAGGGAATTATCGTCCTTCGAGCTAACAAAACAGTGCTGTGCCATGTGTTTTCGGAGTACTTAGTTAAATTAAGGCAAGTAAATGTACTGTAGTCTACTGAAATACATTTCAAGACCTTCAGCTAGCCTATTTTACCACAGTGAAAAAGTATAACACTAGTGACCACCATTACTAAGTCACTAAGTTCCTGAAACTTTCTGTTTGCTATTATTTCGCTAATTCTCAATCAATAATCAATCAATCAATCACTCAAGCAAATAAGATAGAGAGAAGAACCCTAAAAAAGCGCGAATTGATCATGAGCTGAACAAAGTGTGATGGATCTCTGGAATTAGCATCGGTTGATGTAGAGAGCAACAAGCAACACCATATCAACTCATGTAAACAGTGCTGTTATAGCTGCCACCGACCCCCCCCCCCCCCCCCCCCCCCCCCCCCCCCCCCCCCCCCCCCTTCTGTGC